CTTAATTTCTGGACATTTATGGTTTGATTTCTTTGTATGATGGATCACTTGGGTTGTTACCGACATCTGGTGAAAATTTCATGTCATTAGCACCTCTAGCAATATATTTACTGAGAAAAATGGTGACGTGTTCAATACTTATTTTACCCACTGTATCAATTTGCTACATGTTGTATTCATTGTATGTTTAAATACACAACTTTGGCTAAAAATATATATAAATATAAAACTGCCCTGCAGTACCTCTGTGACCTCATCATTGAAGACCTCTATTATAGGGTTATTGTCCTGCTGGGAAGTGAATCTCTGTTTCAGTCTTCTTTGAAAAACTCATTTTTTTTTCTTACAGCACATTAATTGCAGCTTTTAGCACGTCTACAATGTGCCTTTTTGGTATAATGATTTTTTTTTTCTTGAAACAATGACTTAGTAGTCAGGCTAGTTTTCTTAGCTCTGTGCAGCTAACAGTGGCCCTATGGACAGATACTTCCACTTCTGCTGAAGAGCTGTCCAGCTTCAGCAGATTTATCTTAGTTATTTCTCTGGTTAATGCTCATCTTCCTTAATCTAGGTTTTCCTGGCAGAGCTTGGTATGTTTGGTGTGGTGACACAATCTGGCAGAACTGAACACATTCAAAAGGATGTGTAATACGCATTTCCTGCTTTCTGATTAAAACATTTTCCTTCATTTCTGCTTGTAAAAAATCATGTGTGTGTTTGTCTTCAGCTCTGACTGACATCAAGCTCTGGGGGATTGACCGCCATGGCTTTCAGACCATCATGATGAGGACCGGTCTCATTAAACATTCCCAGTACACAGACTTCCTCCGCAGGTAAACAGCCTGCCTTGTGGTCAACACATCACTGTATTTATCTCTCATTTCATGAAGATCGCTCACATTTTTCTTTGTGGAAACTCTCCTTACAGTATTCCTTCATTCCAGTCTCTGACTGAGGATGTTGTCAGTAAAGTGGCTGATGTTCTGGAGGAGGTGATCATTTTCAGACACACAGACATCCTGCCTGTCTCTTTGACAAACATAAACATCTTTGTTCAGCAATCACTCTTTCTTTTTTTTAAATCTTTTTTCTTGTTGTTGTTTTTGTCTATCTCAGACTTTTTACAGGGATGGGGAATATATTATCCGTCAGGGAGCCACAGGAGACACGTTCTTCATCATCAGTGAAGGACAGGTGAGAATGAAAGATTTATCTGGATTTGTGAGGAGAATGTAATTAACTGTGAACAAAATAACAAGAACTTGGCTTCTAAATTGTCAAATTGGTGATAACGAAATGCAGGAGTCAGTTGATCTGTATTTTTTCAAATTTACAAATTGCAGAGAATTGATTAAATCTTGTAACGAAATGTATACAAAGCCTTAAAGTCCACATGAGACATCACATATAAACCATGTTGTTTCACTTTTTTATGTTATGTATGTCAGGAAGAAAAAAATACTCTCCTTCATCAAGTAATTAAATTAGTTAAACACAACTTCAAATGCAACACAACTCAGGTTTTTAAAAATCAGGAAACAAAAATGACTAAAACCATAAAATCTCTATCTCAGAATCGAAATACCCTAGTTCAGGGCTATTCAACTGGCGGACCGCGGGCCAAATCCAGCCCGCGAGTGACCAAAGTTCGATCCGCCAATTAGTTCTTTCATCTCTTAAGCCCAAACCCCTGGTTTTCTACTTTAATTACTATAAGTTATTTTAGTTATACATAGACATGTTTGGTGTCTACAGAAACGTCAGAACCTTGGCTCCAATCCGGTACAAACCATTTCTATGCACACTAAAGACAGTTAAAACTACAAGCAATTGAAGATAGAACTATGAAAGTGAAAATAAAATTGGTTTAAAATTTTGACAAGTCAGAGATGTCAAAATATTATTTGTGTCAAATAGGAGGCATACTGTGTTCTTTTTGTTTTTGATGTTGTTTATTTATCACTTCTTTTATAGGGTTCTGTATGTTGTATTCATGATTAAATGCAGCAAAATAAACTATTTCAAAGGTAACAGATCTTTGTAATACTTGGTTTATTTACATAATAACTTTAATTGCTGGATGTTCGGCCCCTCAGCTGTTGACCGGCAGTAACTGTGGCACCCAGAGCAATTTAGTTGAATAACCCTGCCCTAGTTAGATTCATTAAATGGTTTATGACAGGAGGATAAGAACAATATGGCTTTTTTGGCATTAGTGTCCAGAGAAAAAAAAATTATAAAAAAAGAAAGGAAAAAAAAAGCATGCCAGCACAGCGCTGATTTGCAAATCTGAACAAATCACAACATTTAGAAAACGTTTTTTTGTCGGACAAGACCATCTGTCTACTTTCTTCACCCACTTCTCTTTTCTGAGTCATGGGGAGCTGGACACTGTGTGAGGTACACCCTTGACAGGTTAACCATTCATACATTTACCCAAACCCAATCCTTCTTGCTGAAAGGCCTGCATTGCTGACCCACTGATGCAAGACCAATATAAGCAAGTCTGGTGACATCGCCATGTTGAAAATAAACAAACAGCACAAACGCTGGTTTGCAGGCTGGTGGAAGAGTGATCATTTGGCCGGCTTTGGAGCCAATGGACCAGAACACCTTGCAACTTTTCTTTGTATACCAAAGTATTTCGATGGTCAAACGTGAGGCCCTTTGTCTGACAGCTAAAGCTTGGCCAAAACTGAGTCATGAATGAGGACGATGATGCAAACCACAACAGCAAACAGAAAAGCTGGAAAAGAAAAGTTACAATCAAAAGATCTGTTTCAGTTCTAAACTGAAGTGTGGATTTCTACACTTTTAAACATCATTTGAAACTCAGTGATGTAACTTAACTACCCAGCTGAAACTACACACCTCTCACAATGGAGAGTCGTCAGGATCTCTGTTTGCCTCGCTCACGAGAGATGTTTTGGCCACATGCATGAAGGTGTGAATTAGGGGATACTGGCATTTTGCTATAGTCCAAAATGCAAATGTCAACTCTGCTGAACTGGCTGTGTTTGGACTTTATCTGTGTAAACAAATCCCTGCAGAACTTACTGAGCTGAAGCAATGTTGTAAAGAGAAGTGGGCTAAAATCCCTCCACAACCATGTGAGGCACAAGAAGACTGAGTTAATGCTGCTAAAGGAGCTTCTACACACTTCTGAATCATAGTGTGGATGGAGATATATGCAGTTACCTCTGTATTTTAGACTTAATATTAACGGTAAAGGGTGTGTGAGTCAAAAGTCACAGGACACCCTTTTTATTTATTTCAGAAAGAAAATTTTTGAAACGACATATCTGAATACCCGAGCAAGTAATGGGTGAGGGGGGGCTTCCTTTTAGGCTTCATCCAGAACATGGCTTACCAAATTTCCCTCTGGGATCAATAAAGTGTATTTGAATTTGAACTGAATTGAATGGCTGCTATAATGGATCATAGACAAGTTTTTCGAAAGATAAGCCTCCTCACCAACTACTTGCTGGGGTATTTTGATATACTGTATCATTTTTCTTTTTATTTCTGAAATAATAGGGTGTCCTGTGACTCATCCTGTATTTTGTGTTGTTCACTCGAGTAGTTAAACAGCAGCATGGCGGTTAGCATTGCTGCCTCACCGTAAAAAGTTTGCTGGTTCAACTCTCAGCTTGGGCTTTTTCTATATGAAGCTTGTGTGTTTTCTCTGTGCAGGTATGGATGTTTAGGGTACTCCTTCCGCTTTTAATACATAAAACATTAGAACTGAAAGAGGGTCTATATACAGTATGATTTTATAATGTTAAGTTCAGATAAATGGCTATTCTTTGTTAAAATTAAAACAAGAGGCAGCTTATCCTTGTATTTGAGAACTTATTGTGAAATTAGGCACCATAACATGAAAACACAAGTCTGTTCGAATTTCACTTCAGTGCAGAACCTGAGCAGATGCTTGTGTTACCGCCCCCACAGGTGAAAGTTTCTCAGCAGCTCTCAGCCAGTGAAGAGGAGGTGACAGAGAAGACGCTTTGCAAGGGGAACTGGTTCGGAGAACAAGCTTTGATAGGGTGAAACACACACACACACACATCCTTGTACTTGCATCAAACTGAGGACTTTGTATTGACTTTCATTCATTTTTGTAACTGCATTTATGCCCAACCCAGACATTTTCCCTAACACGAACCATTATTCTTCACCCTAACCTGAACTTAATTCACACCATACCTCTAAACCTAGTAGAGCGCAGTAGAGCTGCAAATAAAGTGAGGACCGGGACAAAGTTTTCTTTCTACACCAAAGACCTCACTTTGATAGTAACTATTTTGCAAGTGGTCTTCACTCTGCAGCAGAAACAAGTACACACATAGGCTTGTTTTTATATCCCTGTGGGGACTGTGGATTGACTTGCATTCATTTTCTGGTAATTTTATAGCCTAACCCTGACCATTTACCTGAAATCTAACCAGGCAGGTACCTACCTGACCCTAAAACTAACCTAAACTCAAATCTTGGTCTTAAACCAAACCCCTCACCAGAAATTAGCATCCCTACCAGTGGGGATCAGGCATTGGTCCCATTGATGCACATTTGGTCCGCACGAGGCTTCCTTTTTCTGGAAAATGGTTTCCAGGATGCAGCAAAAATGTGCACACACACACACACACCAATGCACACACACTCATGTTTGTTCTTCTTTCCTCATGGGGACATTGCACTGACTTCCATTATTTACAGGTAAGTTCTACAGCCTAACCCTAATCTCTTGACCTAAATCTAACCTAACAGGTATATAACTGACCCCAAACCTAACCTAAACTGAATTCACACTTCCCCTGACCCATCAACTCTATTTCCCCTGGTAAGGACTGGGCTTTTGTCCCCATTGGGAACAGTGGGTCACCACCAGGCTGTGTGTACCAGGAAAACAGTCAGAAATTGTCCCCACCAGGTAGCAAAAAACATGCACACACACATTCACAACTAGGTATAAAAGACATCTTCGACACACTTTATAAATTAGCAGCATGTACCCACAAAGGCCCTTTCGTCCTGGACCCAATTCTGGCACACTTCTCTTGGAATGCATCAGGATGCAGCTACCTCAACACTGATGCCACCACAGCATCCACACTCCAGCCCACTTTACTCAGGCCTACAGACATTTAATGCATGCTCAAATCTATCATAGAGCTATTGTCCTCTATTATCTATCGTTCTTAATATGCCGCTGAAGACCTCAGCAAGACCTTGCAGAAACCATCCAGGTTCTGGCTGTTATCCAGTGTGAAATTCTGAACCAAGCTGGAGTGAGATAACAAAGTTTTTTTATTGATTTTTTATCTCTGAATTTCCAGCTACAACATCCTTATTAAAGAGATGCCACACGTCTAACATCCACATGAAGATCTACTCCAACAGACACAAACTTTCAGCTTAAACAGCCTTTTTACAGATGAGCAGGGAATAGACCAGTAAACAATAAACAGCAGCTTTGCCTGCAGCAACAGAATTTATAATGCAGGACTGATGGAACAAAAGCATGAAGTTAGAATCACAGGTCAGGCAGGGTTTCATATGGGTATTCGTATGTGTTGTGTAAGAAAGATAATTTTAACTGTAAAATTGTAGTCTAATTTTATATGTACTGTTAGAACCAGTAGCATTAAAGAAGAGTAATGAGGGAAAATAATGTTTGTTTTTTTACTTCTAAGATTATAAACAGTTGTCATTCAGGTAAGTTACTTTGAAACCTTGATCTAGTTCAGTAATTAAAATAAAATGTTAAATCTTCTGAAGAGGGGCTATGTGCTAAAATTTTTTATCTTGCCTGTTAAAGATTATTCTTTGCAGGACCTCAGTTTAAAGGAATTGAGTTTAATTCTGACTGGACTGACAAGATAATAGTCCAAACGCAGCCATGGTCAAAGTGTATTGTTGAAACAACACCAGTCTTGAAAATTTCATGGCTGTTCATGCAAACACAGTCGTATAAACTTTACACCAATTCACTGTAGCATTTTCTAATGTGTCCTGGGGTGTTTCCAGGAGATGTTTCATTATATTTTTTGCTGAAAAAACAGTGCCATGCAAAACCTACAAGGTTTTTAACTGTGTTATAAACCACTTTTTATTTCATTTGATTTCCGCTATTTTAAGCTGGTGGATATTCAGTTACTGTATTAATTGTTTATAACCTTCCCCAGAACCCCCACCCCTCCCACTTTAAAATATGTTCTTTAATGCTGCACTGTGAGTTTTTTAATCATCTCTGATAGCAAACATTGCCTGTCTCCAGCAAGTAATTCACTTCCCCAGATAAATGCACCTTTTTTTTCCCTCTCCATCTCACTGTGGCAGCCTCGCTGTTCTGTTCGGTGAATCCTCACTGCTCTTAGCTTTCTTCTCGCCAGCTGTTCTCAGAACAAAAGTGCTGAACAAACCCTTTCATTTCAGACCAACACAGCAGCAAACAGACAGACACATTTAGAGTTGAGCTGGGAGCAGAGTTTGAACATTTCACATGTCGTAGAGATTAGAAATCTGATCTAAAACTATGAGAGGCCCTTTAGGCCAGCGTTTCCCAAAGTGGGGTCCCGAAACATCAAGGTGGGGTCCTGAAAAGGCTTTCGGAATTAGTTTCATTTTTGTCTTGGTTAGTGTATTTAAAATGGATAAATGTAGTATAAAATATAGTGTTATGCCCATGTTTTGTTGACCTGATATAAATGTTTATCATCCAAAAATAGCTGGGGGCACAGGTCTCTGCTGCTGTTATTTTGTGGGTCAAAAGCTGAAAAGTTTTGGAACCAGTGCACTTTGGTTCCCAAAGTTGGGCTTGGGACCCAATTATGGGTCATGAAGCACCTTGGATAATCTCCAGAAATCAACTTAAAGGTTAAAAAAATAATTGCTGATGTAATATTTTCCCTATAACTCTTCAAAACACACAAAAACGAATAAATAAGTATTTACATTTGTGTACAAGCTGTTTAGATTGTCAAAAAGCCTGTGTTTTTAGGGTTATTAACAAAGTTCGTGTACTCAGACCAGTAATATTTGGGGTCACAAGTTTTTGCCATGGATAATTTATGGGTCATAAGATAAAAAGTTTGGGAACCACTGCTTTAGGCCATAATTCAAACTTGCTCTCATATGTGCTATCAAACTCTCTCACATTTACCAAAGCTTAACACTCAGAACTCTAATCCATGACAACAGTATGTAAAAATAAGCGTGCAAGGTTCACCATGTTCCTGTGAGAACAACTCTACAGCACATCTCTCTAAAAGCACTTAACAGCTGCACAAACAGCTTGTTTCCCCTTTTGTTGCAGCGAGGACGTTCGCACCGCCAGTGTCACGGCTGTGGGAGACGTCACGTGTTTGGTCATTGACAGAGAGTGAGTCTGGGTCTTTGTTTTGTTGTGAACTTTTGGTTTGAAATCGAGGCTGAGAGCTGTTTCTCTTTGACTGGATTCTTCTGCATGTCTCAGGTCCTTCAAACAGCTGATCGGAGGGCTGGATGGACGCAGCCACAAGCATCACGACAGCGACGAGGTCAAGGCTTTGTGAGTTCAGCTGTGCATTCTGAGAAATTGCTCAGAATTGCTTCGTACTGAAAGGTTTCTGAAGTAAAAGCTGCATGTGGAAAACATGTTTTCACAAACAGTGCTACGGTTTTATTGCACCAAAATGTTGACTGAAAGTTTTAGAAAAAAAAAAATATATATATATATATATACTCAACTGAATAAACCCCCTGAAGCTATACTGAAATAATGAATGTTAACTCTCACCTTAGCTGTATTTCCACGGACAACACATTGACTCAGTGTTTGATTGTGACAAGTACAGTAATTTGGCCATAAAATCAAATATGATTGGTGTGCAGTAGAAATATGTCCATTTCTTGACATCACAGCTGCTGAATATAGAACTGAAGGGCCTTTTACAAAGCACTAACTTGAAAACCCACAAAAGTTCCATTTCAAGACCATTTTGCTTGGTTGTTTAACATATGCCACAGAACAAAGGTGTTTATTTTTATGTTTCTATCATATTTTACTAGATAAGCAATATGAAAAAAATGGTAGATGTTGGACTTTAAACAGTCTAAAAGGTAAAGGAGCTTCTCGTAGAAATCATTTTCAGTAACAGCAGCATCTTCAATTTCTTTACTGACGCAGTTTTCTAGTTGAAAAAATTGTAGACATTTCTATCTAAAATAATGCAATGCTTGTACAACAGGTGACACTGAAAGAGGTGGGTGCAAAAACATGAAAATCTATTAATACTGACTTAACACAATTATTACCAGATTATAAATGGTTCTTTTTACAAATACAGCCTTTTAGGTTGTGTTTTCTCTTAGAAGCTAACAACTTTGAGGATCACATCTTCAGGACTATGCAGCATGATGTTCATAAGAACGGCTGAATATGATGTGTCAGAAAAACTTCTAGTCAAGTGTTTTGTGTATGTTAATTAACGAGGTTATAATTATTGTACGTAGGTGTGGATGTGTATATGTGTGTATATGTTTATATATGTGCGTATGGGTATATGTACATACATCTGTTTAAGTTTGGTTGCTGGGTGTTTGTGCTCTTCACTTGCTGATGGTCAGATGTCGGGTGTGGTGTCCTGTGCGTTATTGGTGTTCATTTCACATGTTGTGTAATTTCTATCGGTTTCTCTCTTTACTGTTCTTATATTTCTCTTCTACTTTTTCTTTTTCTTCCTTACTATAGTATAAAAAAGCCACTGATGATGCAGAATTAAGAAACTAACATTCAGTTTTGTTTTCTACTGAAGTGACAAAAAAAGAACAATTTCTAGTCTGTGAATCGTGTTCATTGACAATGGCAATAAAACTGATTCTGATATAACACATCAGGACACAGAGTGAAGTTGTTTGTCCAATCTGATGAATTTAAGTTCATATTTATGAAAGTTTTCTAAATAAAGCTGGAGATTGATCGGCAGTGTCATTAAATTATTATTTTCCTTCAGGCCACAGTATTTGGGAGTGTTACGCCCCATCTAGGAGCAACCAGAACGTAATAAAAGGAAAAATTCCCAACATCTGCACCATTCAACAATAAAAACGAAACAAAAGGAACCACAGGGAAACTATTTTATGAAAAGAAGAAAAGTGTGATTTTTATTTACAGTGAGCTTCTGCATCTATAAAACTGGAGTGTCTTTACTTCAGGGTGAGCCAAAGGCCAAAAAAACAAAAACAAAATGAGTCTAAGTTTTTGTCTCTTACATAATCTAAATTCAATAGAAATGAAATACAGGCTCTTACCTTCCTAATTACCCAAAACAGGAGAAAAATATATTCAAAATAAATGGCAACTCCCCAACAAAACTCCTCACAAAACTATTTTTTAAGTACAAACAACTCTAAAGTCTGATGTGGTACATCAGTCAGCAGGCAGGTTGGATGGCGCAGAGGAGGGGGAAGCTCTCGACATCATCACCTCTCAGCTTATCTTTATGCAGTTTCCTCTTCAACATGTAGCCAATCCTCACTCAGCTTCTGGCCTCAATCTTCCAATCACAGACGACACCTGGAAACTCATTTGCATAGAAAATTATCCCAACACACACACACACACACACACACACACATGCACGCACGCACGCACGCACACACACACACGCACACACACACACACACACACTCAAAACAAAATATTACGTCAGTCATAAAAGGGTGCCTACATTTTTTCAAAGCAATGCTGCAGTTTTTATTACCCCCAAAAGAGGGCAGAAACATTGTGCAGAGGCTACATGAGTTGTTATACTCTATGGGTGAGAAGTGAGGTACAAACTGGACATGCTTTCCGTCTATCAAAGGGCCTGCACTGAAAAAGAGAACATGTTAAATTTACTTAATTTAACAGTGGACATAGGTTGCACATAGATGTTTTGTTTTGGGTGCAACTTAAACAAATGATAAATGATAGGTAAATTTACACCAGTCATAAACCCGTGTATTTTGTGTCGATAAAGTGTGATTGAAACATGCAGGTAATTTGAGCTCTTGGAACATTTTTAACTTTCACACTTTTCTGGCTTTATTCCAACACTATTCAATACCTTTTGCTTCAATACTGTTGATTGAAGTAACTTATTTCATGTGTTTCTTCTTTCTTCCTGCAGACAACAAGCAGAGGCTAATTTCTTCTCCAGTATATCACTCACTGATCTCCAAATCATCTCCACTCTGGGGATGGGAGGCTTCAGTCGTGTAGAGCTGGTGAGTGTACGTGATCTGTGTGAAGATCCCACGAATCTGTGACTTCACGTTGTATTTTTGTGTGTCCAGGTTAAGTTAAGGACTGATTCCAGTCGTTCGTTTGCCTTGAAAATCTTGAAGAAACGTCACATCCTGGACACCAGCCAGCAGGATCACATTTTGTCTGAGCGCCGCATCATGATGGACGCTCATAACTCATTTATTATCAGGTTAGAGTGCACACGGTGCTCATCTACAGTGTGCCACAGTGAATAAAAGAATGACTGTTTTAGGTGATGCTACGTATGGGGTGTCGTTTGTAAAGTTACACAGTCAAAAATGACCACCAATATTTTTGTTTTATTTTGCCTTTTATAAGAGAAAAGAACAGATTTGTTTTTCAAAGTCAGCTTTCACCATATGATTCATACATTTATAAATGTCATAGTTTATAAACTAAATATTTAACTTACAAATTACAGCGGGTAAAATAAGTATTGAACGCATCAACATTTTTCTCAGTAAATATATTACTAGAGGTGCTAATGACATGAAATTTTCACCAGATGT